TTCTGGGAGTTGAAGTCCACTCATCTTAAAGTGGCCAAGTTTGGACAACACTGTCATAAACTCTCCATGCAGGCTGGGTTCATGTAACATGCTAGGCTAACATGTGGTTGCCTAATTGGTAGCCAATCCTTTATATGTGTTTATGCACATGTATGTGCCTCCTTGCCCACATTCTGTATATCGCAATCACGTATAAAGCCAGTTTACAGTATCTAGATGCCCCTTTAAGGGTTTGATAGAAAAAGGCATTACATATATGCACCATGGCTGCCAGAAAGGCAACATTCCTGGCCTGTCTAGCCAAAACTAAATAAGTTACAACGTTGTTTAGTGCAATGTGTGAATCTTGTCCTGGTGCCATATTTTCATGGTGTGTGTATGTTTTCTATGGGATGAACAGACTCAGGGTTAGAAACAAAGGGTGATCTGCAGTGCAACCCCATGTAATCCTTACTTGGAAGCAAGGCCTAGTACTTTCAGTGGGACTTACTAATGGCTAGCAAGGTTTAGAGTCAACTTGAAATGGCATACTTTCTCAATAAGCTCATAAAGATGATAAAAAAGGGAGTGGAGTTTCTAACACCTGTCCATATTTGTGTATAAGATACAGGCTTTGATTACTCATGTATTAAGTGTAAATGTTGGTTCTCATAGCTATTTCTGTTGGTGAGGTTCAGCTAGGTGGTAGGTGTGGTGCCCAAGTAGAAAATGACACCTAACCAAAGTTGGCTAATCTAGAGAGCAAGCAAGGCTGGTCCAGGTTAGTGCTTGATGAGAGATCACTAGGAAATCTATCTGCTGCAGGCTAAACTGGGAAAGTGAAGCAAACCTCCCAAAGAAAACATTGGTAAACCACTTCCAAATGATGTGAAAGCTGTAGAGATATGTCCCCATGAGTGTATTTCAGCTTGGGAAATGATTTTATTTTACTTCTGGAGTTAGGGGTATTGCTTACTATCAAACCCAGAGAAAGGAGCACACTTCTTTCAGCAATAGGCAGAACAATCTTTTAAACCCTTGTTTCATTTATTTCAAGAATTATCGCACACAGAGAGCATTTATGGTGCTTTGAGCACAAGCCACCATAGAAAAGTGGCCAGTGAAGACATTGACAATAAACAAAGCCATATACATTATATTATTATTATTATTATTATTATTATTATT